TTGACATCTCTTCATCTGCAAATAATTCTCGACGTGAAAACACAGAGCCAGGGGACCGATCTTTGAATAGGAAAAAGAGTGGATCTGCGGGGTCCCAAATGAATTGGCTTATTCGAAAAAAGCCTTGTTCTTTGGAAGATCTATCTCGTGTCTTGTACTGCATGGTTCCACTCTGCAAGAACTCCGAATCATTCTCTTGAAGCTCATCCTCTTTATCATAAAAGATCCGCTTGCCCCGAAATGACCTGGACCAATAGGAAAATCCCAATTCATTGGGCCTTTCGATACAAAGAAAGCCCCAAGGGCGCCATATTCTAGGAGCCCAAACTATGTGATTGAATAAATCCTCCTCTATCTGTTGCGGGTCAAGGTTAGGGTCAAGGGCGCCTTCTTCAAACTCCGATTCGTATTTTTCATAGAGAAATATCTGATCAAGGATAGAACAAGATCCGTTTTGCATCATATCTAAGGGATTCCTCGGTTCGGGCCGAAGAAGCAATGTCACTCGATCATTATCAAACTGACTGCAATTTTTTTCTGTCCGCGAAGATCCCACCAGAGCGCCTTCTACTTCTAATAGGCCATGAACTAGATCAGAATCATTCTCAACGAGTCCATAGGAAGTGATCCCATTTTTTTCATCGGGTCCGGGTAAAGACCAAAGATCTTGAGCGACCGATCCGGCAGAACAACTCAAAAGATAAAGAAGTATCGTGAATTTCTTCATGCTCGTTCCAAGTTCGAAGTACCATTTGTACAAATAAGAATCCCCTTCGTTACATAATTTCTTCTTCAGATAGATAGATATAGGATCTATGGGACAATTACTTAGAAGTACATTTTGTGCTACAGCCCTTCCTATCTGATAGAAAAGGATCCCATGATCCTGAACCGATCTTACCTGGGATCGCAAATCCCAAGTTTGTCTATGAAGAGCGGATCTAATTGTATTAGTGTCTATAATTGATTTCTTCTGTGTAATACTAATCGATAGGACCTCATTGGTAAGTGCTACAAGATCTCGTGCATTGGGCCCCATGGTTATGGACCCGAATCCGTTAGTATGGAACATTTTCTTTTCCAAGTGAAATCCCCTAGTATATGAAAGAGTGAAAAAGTACTTTCGTTGTTGTGGAATAAGAAGCCTTCGTAACTTAATGCACGTATTGAATTTGTTCGGAGCTATGAGAGCGGGATCCACTTTTTGGGGAATATGAGTCGAAGCAATAACAAGAATATTTCTAGTAGAACATCTTTCACAATCCCTGGAGAGATGGTTCACTAATAGACCGAGGGATAAGTAATTCGACTCATTCACATCCAGATCATGAATGTTTGGGATCCATATTATGCAAGGAGACATTGCTCTTGCTAATTCGAATTGAAGGGTGATAGACAATCGGTTTATTTCCGCCATCATCTCCTTATCCATAGTTAGCGCATTCATCCAAGTTAGCAGTTCCAGCTCCGTATCAAGGTCACGATCGATATCGTCACTAGCATCAATATTGTCACTATCATCAATATCGATATCGTCACTAGCATCAATATTGTCACTATCATCAATATCGATATCAGCAATAAATTTAGGCTTCTTATCCAGTAACTTGTTAAGAAATACCGTAATGAAAGGAACATAGGAGTTTGTCGCTAGGTATTTGACCAAATAGGATCGTCCAGTTCCTATAGAACCTATCACTAAAATACCCCTAGAGGGGGATAAGGCTAAGCGGAGCGAAAAAGGTTTTCCATGAGATGGGAAATGAAAACTATTAGCCCCAGACGAAGTTTGTGAATAAGTGATTGTCTGATAATGAGCAAGGAATATCCGTCTTTCTGCTAAACAGGATATATTGAACTCATAATTCATTAGATGCTTTTGATGAATGTCAACCAAGTATCGTAAGTAAATTGCTCCCGGTTGTTCAATCATTTGATAACCAGAGTCATTCTTTGATAAATGATCACTATGAGTCAGACTCAATAGAATTCTTTTTTCTGTCGTTAAGGCGGAGAGCTGAACCAAGAATTTTCTTTCTTCCTCATGAATCGAATCACTGTTCGCGACCCAGGATTCTATTTTATCATCAATCCAATCCCCGTTCACGTTTTTTCTTTTTCTTATCAATGAATAGATCTCTTTACTTGTATGACTTAGATGTCTCGTATTTATAGAAAAAGCGATTCGATTGATGGGAAATAGAAAGAGATTCTTTAACCAGAAAGAATTCGGTTCAGACGTAGGATACTTATCTAGAAGTTTTCGCAACTCAATCTCAATCATTGATGAGGGAATCATCAAAGATTTGACCTTTTCGAACTCTGTCTGTAACTCACTAAAGGTCTGGGAAACAAAGAAAAGATGTATAAGAACGAGATATCCAGCAACAAGAACAAGGAAAAGGATTGAATAGAGGAATTCCCAAACATTTGGTGATCTCAGATGTGTCGATATCAACGACGACTTATTCTTTTTATTTCGATGAATCATTTCTTTGGACAGAAGATTATGTAACCATTTACTCGAGATCTCACTTCTGAGAAAAAATTGCATCTTCCACAATTTTGTCTGAAGAATTCGCCACGATATACCCATAATATCATGAAAAATGGATACACTGCTACTTAGTATTGACAATAGGTCTGAAAAAGTATCTAAAAATATCGAATTTAGATATTTGTACCCTGTCGAAGTAAAGAAGCTTGGCATATATGTTTGGAATAGATTCCATTTTTTTGAGAGAATTGAAAAAGCACTATCTCGTTGAAAGGTTGTATACATCCGCCCTTTCTGAACCCCAACGCATTTCTTTAGACAAAGACTCTGTTTTTTCCTTTTTTCGGATGGGAAATCTTTCTCAGAACATGGAATGTGAATCAAACCTATATTTGAATTGAAATTGGGACACTCATGAAGGTTCTTTCCTTCTGAATCAGATAGATTCATATCTGAAAGAGGTTGACAATAAGTTCTTTCAAAATTGACAATTTGTCCCTCTGTTAGAGGGTTTCCAGAAGTGTCTACGATCGAATAAATAGCTCTACGAACGAATGGATCGGGTCGACTTAGAAAATGAAAAGATTTGTCCAAGTTATACCTTTCGTCACCACTTTGTGGAAAATCGTTAGGTATGAATATGTTAGATACTTGTGACTCGATTGGTGAAATAGTAGTTCTCCCCCCAAAAACATGTTTTTTTTTACCAACGCACAAAGAAAATCTTTTCTTGCGAAGGAACAAGATATTGAGAAATTGCCCATATAGAAAATATGAATTATTATTACGAGCCTTTTCCACAGAAAAAGGGAATCTTTTGTTACAATAGAAGCAGAAGTGATGCGGATTATTCAAGAATCGAAGTCGATTTGCTTTATAAAAAGAGGATATCAATGAACTTCTGTGAAATGGTTTCCCGGGATTCAGCCAATTGTCTTGATCGTAGAATATCATTGAGAAATAGGAATCTTTGTTATCAAAGGATTTCCTGCGATTAGTTCTAGTATGGAATGAGTCAATCATCCGCTTTGGTATCTTATTGAACAAAAATGGTGATATTGTTCCTCCATTGATCAAGAATTTCGAAGTACCATCATCAGCCAGTAAGAAGGGGTTCAATTTTTTCAAATGAACAATTTGAAAACCTATCGATTCTAACAACTGATTGCAGAGTTTATCATTCGGACCTTTCAATTCATAGATGTTGATTTCGGACCTATGAATGGGGGTATTCCCAAAACTTACACAGGAAAAAGGAAAAGAAAGTGAATTAGACAAAAAGAAAAGCAACTTGGCCAAAAAACGAAGTGACTTGCCCAAAAAACGAAGTGACTGGGAGAAAAGGAAAAAGAAACGAAGTGACCTGGACCACTTGGGCAAAAAGAAAGTAAGCAACTTATACACATCTTTTTCGAATTTCTTGCAAACCTCAGAATAATTCATCAAAAATTGATTAATACGAATACGTGTATAAATACGTAATTGATCAAACATTACTTGAAAACGGCTCTTTTGCACTTGAAAATGCACTTGAAAACAGCTTTTCTGCTCAGAAAGGAAATGTTCCAAATGTTCCTGGCAATTCTTGCTCCCATTGGACCATTTGTATATATATGCATAATCTTGTTTGATCATATATTTCATTAGAGTTCTATGACTGAGAGTATCCTTTCCTTTTTGATCCCTTTGAATTCCATATTCGAAGTTGCGATCGGATCTATTCATTAAAAAGAATCGATTCAATACACTTCTTATGTACCTATTATATTGGATTTGAATCAGATTTCGGATCAATCTATATTGATTGACTGCTTCCATTATGTTATTGCTAGCAAATACCACCATTTTTTGCTTTAGATCTCCCAAACCATTCCCGCAGGAGATCCAGACCCGTTTTTGTCTGATCCTTCGAAAAAAATATTCATTCTCCTCATAACGAAAAAGAACAGGAGACAGAACCAATAAAGATTTCTTTTTCGATTCAGCCCTGGTGTTGAATACCTCATTCAAGAATTTTTTTTGATCCAATCCGTACGAATCAATAGAAAAAGAAAATCCCTTATGATACACCAGATCCGGCTCGGTTATTGATAGAGTAAATAGATCTGCCATTTCTTGCAATCTCTCTTCTGATTCAAAATCATGGTGTAACGCGTATCCTCCCCTGTTCCGTTCATGGAATCGGTGAAAGAAATCAAAAAATGGATTTTTGTTAAAGAATGAAATCTTATTGGAACTGTCCAGATCCGGGTCATCCTTCGGAACCATATCACATCCCGGATCTAATGAAATAGAATGAATTGAGATAGTATTTTGTAAATACGTAATGATTTTGAATAAATGAATCATTTCTTTATTTTCTGATCGCCGGACAAAAGAAAGATGTTTCTTCAACAATTTCTGCTCTCTAGTGGACCTCTCAGTAGGATTCGAACCCAGATGAAGTTCTGACCATCTATCAGAGAAAAAAGAACGAACGGATCTTGTAGCATTCCCAAGAAATTCTTCCATTTCTTCCGGAAACAGATGATTAATCATCGGTTTCTCGCGTTCCGTGAATAGCTGGGACATTGAGGAATATCCAGAAAGGTTTTTCGGGAATCGGTCTGATTCTATCTCTTTTCGTTCCGTTTGAAGAAAGGAAGGATCCCAGGGAATCGATCTTTCTTCTAGTTGTTGAATCTCTCTTTGATTGATCAATGTGCGATATTCCGAATCCTCATTACTAATGGAATCCAAATGATTGGAATCCAAATGATCTCTGGATTGATCAGAGGATCCTTTCAGTTGGCTAGAATCCGTTACTTGAACGAAACTAGACCTTGTGGAATCATATTGAATATTTGACCATACATTCCGTACCTTGCTAAAAAACCGATCCTTCTTTCCCAACCACACATTGCCTAACCAAAAATACGATTCGGGCGGATTATTCCCCCAACTAGGGAATAAAAGGAAGAGATCTTGGCGGAATTTCCACATATGAAATTGAGTACAATTTTGCAACGAGATAGCCCCCTTGTTTCTCGAGAAGAGATGGGAAACATGCTCATGTTGTTTGAAGAAAATCCCCGCTTCAATTGGTCTTTTTTCACGAAAAGCAGACATAAGATAAGAAATCCAGTCTTTCGCTAATCTTTCCAATAAAATAGGATCAGCCAATTTCCAATCATGGTCCTTGTGGGTCGAATCATCATCCATATAATATACAAAAAGAAACTCCAGAGATTTGCTATCTTTCTCTTTGAATAAGATCTCAATTTCGGCGACGGTTTCATTAGATATCTTACAACTAGAATTCCTCTTTGTTATTGAGAGAACCCCAGTACTCTCTTTCCGATTCAGGAAAGAACTCTCAGAGATCTTTTTTCCTTTTGGAAGATACAGGAGCGAAACAATCAACCTATTGATATTGGAAGACCCAACAGCTTCTTCCAATCGATCATTTCTGGGTCCAGTGGAATTCATAGGTATAGGAAGAAACCCTGTCAAATATAGGTTTTTTCTTTCGACCATATTTCGATTGTTAATACGATATATAAGTACCGCTACTACAAAGAGTATTACTCCCCTGATCGTGAAAGATCGATTGCTTGTTGAACCCTGGAAATTGCGTGAAAGTAGAATACTAAAAATTCGTGGGTCAAAGAGTTTTAGAAAACGTTCTTGGTGGAAAAAAATGTGAATAAAGGATCCCACTGAATTGAATTGGGTCCACGAATCTAAGAAATAGTGAGAATTCTTTATCTCTCTCATTATCTCTCTCAATTCGAAAATACAGAACTTGATTTGTATTTTTTGCATTAGGTTCACCCCCGAGATTTCATCTCATTTTGATTTTGATTCTTCTTTTATGTTATTTTAATTTATTTTATGTTATTTTAATTTATTTTATGTTATTTTAATTTGACTTATTTTATGTTATTTTAATTTATTTTATGTTATTTTAATTTATTTTATGTTATTTTAATTTGACTTATTTTATGTTATTTTAATTTATTTTATGTTATTTTAATTTATTTTATGTTATTTTAATTTGACTTATTTTATGTTATTTTAATTTATTTTATGTTATTTTAATTTGACTTATTTTATGTTATTTTAAATTAAATGATTTTATGTTATTTTAATTTGACTTATTTTTTATATTGGATTGGCACCGTGGACAAGGGTCCCTGTTAAGCATCCATGGCTGAGTGGTGAAAGCGCCCAACTCATAATTGGCGAAGTCGTAGGTTCAATTCCTACTGGATGCACGCAATCAGGACCTTGGAATCTCATCCATACATAACGAATTGATGTCACATAACACAATTCAGATCCATATCATAACATATCTATCTATATTTTTTTTTCATATATGATAGATATATATGTATCATAGATATATATGAACTATATGAACAGTAAGAACTAGCATTCTTATTGAGACTTGAACTCAGAAGGAAGAAAATAAATTTATGGATGGAATCAAATATGCAGTATTGACAGACAAAAGTATTCGGTTATTGGGGAAAAATAAATATACTTTTAATATCGAATCAAGAGCAACTAAGATAGGAATAAAGCTTTCGATCGAACTCTTTTTTGGTGTCAAGGTAAAGGATGTGAATAGCCATCGCCTTCCCGCAAAGAGTAGAAGAATGGGACAGACAATGAGACGTGTAATCATTACGCTTCAACCGGGTTATTCTATTCAACCTCTTAAAAAGATAAAGAACTTCAATCAAAATACTTAATAGCATGGTGATACAATTATACAAAACTTATACCCCGAGTACACGCAATGGAACCGTAAATGGTCAAGTGAAATCCACTCGAGGAAAGAATTTGATCTATGGACAGCATCGTTGTGGTAAAGGTCGTAATGCCAGAGGAATCATTACCGCAAGGCATAGAGGGGGAGGTCATAAGCGTCTATACCGTAAAATAGATTTTCGACGGAATGAAAAAGACATATATGGTCGAATCGTAACCATAGAATACGACCCTAATCGAAATGCATACATTTGTCTCATACACTATGGGAATGGTGAGAAGAGATATATTTTACATCCCAGGGGGGCTATAATTGGAGATAGCATTGTTTCTGGTACAGAGGTTTCTATAAAAATCGGAAATGCCCTACCTTTGACCGAAATGCCCTTAGGCACGGCTATACATAACATAGAAATCACACTTGGAAAGGGTGGACAATTAGCTAGAGCAGCGGGTGCTGTCGCGAAACTGATTGCAAAAGAGGGAAAATCAGCCACAATAAAATTACCTTCTGGGGAGGTCCGTTTGATATCCAAAAACTGCTCAGCAACAGTCGGACAAGTGGGGAATGTTGGGGTGAACCAGAAAAGTTTGGGTAGAGCCGGAGCTAAACGTTGGCTAGGTAAGCGTCCTGTAGTAAGAGGAGTAGTTATGAACCCTGTAGACCATCCCCATGGAGGTGGTGAAGGGAGAGCTCCAATTGGTAGAAAAAAACCCACAACCCCTTGGGGTTATCCTGCACTTGGAAGAAAAAGTAGAAAAAGAAATAAATATAGTGAGAAGTTCATTCTTCGTCACCGTAGTAAGTAGTAAAGAAAATCGAATTGATTTCTTCAAAAAAATATATAGGAGTCAGCTGTGGCACGTTCACTAAAAAAAAATCCCTTTGTAGCGAATCATTTATTAAAAAAAATTGATAAGCTTAACAGAAAAGCAGAAAAAGAAATAATAAGAACTTGGTCCCGGGGATCCACCATTATACCGACAATGATTGGTCATACTATTGCCATCCATAATGGAAAAGAGCATCTGCCTATTTATATAACGGATCATATGGTAGGACACAAATTGGGAGAATTTGCATCTACTTTCAATTTCCGAGGACACACAAAAAGTGATAATAGATCTCGTCGTCGGTAATGTTAATACTAAAATACTAAAAAAAGATCTAGATGCTTATGATTCATTAGTAGGAGGCAAACTTTATGTACCAGGTGCTAAAGAAGAAAAAACCAGAAGTATACGCTTTAGGTCAACATATATCTATGTCGGCTGACAAAGCACGAAGAGTCATTGACCAAATTCGTGGGCGTTCCTATGAGGAAACACTTATGATATTAGAACTAATGCCCTATCGAGCAGGTTATCCCATTTTTAAATTGGTTTATTCTGCAGCAGCAAACGCTAGTTACACTATGGCTTCCAATGAAGCCAATTTAGTTATTAGTAAAGCTGAAGTGAATGAGGGGACTACCGTAAAGAAATTCAAACCTCGAGCTCGCGGACGTAGTTATCCGATAAAAAGGACCACCTGCCATATAACTATTGTACTGAAAGATATATCTTTAGACGATTCTGAATCGATAGAGCTCAATTTGTTAAAAAAACCGAGATGGAAAAAAAATTCTACAGCTATGGCATATTATGATCTCCATAATAGAGGGGGTTTATGGGACAAAAAATAAATCCACTTGGTTTCAGACTTGGTACAACCCAAGGTCATCATTCCCTTTGGTTTTCACAACCAAAAAATTATTCTGAAAGTCTACAAGAAGATCAAAAAATAAGAAATTTTATCAAGAATTATGTACAAAAGAATATGATAACATCCTCTGGCGTCACGGGAATTGCACGTATAGATATTCAAAAAGGAATCGATCTGATCAAAGTCATAATTTTTATGGGATTTCCAAAATTATTAATAGAAAATAGACCGCGAGCAACCGAAGAATTACAAATGACTCTACAAAAAGAATTGAATTGTGTAAACCGAAAACTTAACATTGCTATCACAAGAATTGCAAAACCTTACGGAAACCCTAAGATTCTTGCCGAATTTATAGCCGGACAATTAAAGAATAGAGTTTCATTTCGAAAAGCAATGAAAAAAGCTATTGAATTAGCTGAAAAAGCAGATACAAAAGGCATTCAAGTACAAATTGCAGGGCGCATTGACGGAAAGGAAATTGCACGTGTCGAATGGATCAGAGAAGGGAGGGTTCCCCGACAAACTATTCGAGCTAAAATTGATTATTGTTCTTATCCAGTTCGAACTATCTATGGGGTATTAGGCATAAAAATTTGGATATTTCTGGACGAGGCCTAATAAACCTTTATTACTTATTTTTCCCTTCGATACCAGTAATTGAACAAAAGCAGAGAACCTCGGTCATTCTTTTTCTGGTCAATCAAAGGGAGCAATTCTAATTTCTAATACTGAATTCTATAGGGTTGAATAAAAATTCGATTGACCATTTGATATCATTGCTATGCTTAGTGTGTGACTCGTTGATTTTTTAGGGTTAGGATTAAACCAAACCCATAGTATGAACTAATAACTAGAGAAGAACTAATAACCAACTCATCAACTTCGCATTATCTGGATCTAAAGAACCAGTCACGATATGATATATAGTATAGGTCATATCTTTGTAGCAACTGCTATTTTTTTTTTTCATAAACAAAAAAGATTCTAAGTTGCAAAGCAAAATAGAAGAGAAAAAAGATGTGGATAAATGGAAGGAGGAGAGAAAGAGAGAAAAAGAATCTCAATGATTTAAAATTCCAATATGTAAGGTCTATCATAAAAGGCAGTGTAATAAAGCATGAATACTGATTTATCCATACCCTAATTAATGAAATTAATCAATTAATAGAATAATACAAGAAAAAATCAAGAGCTTCGAGCCAATAAAGACTGAGAAGAATGGCTCAAGACTTTATTTGATTATTCTTACGAGCTCCATTGTCAAATTCGGACCTAACCATTAAGTAAGAAGCGATGGGAACGACGGAACCTGTGAATGAAAAAGATTCCATTGAAAAAAATATTAAAGATTCACTGGTCGGGATGGCGGAATGAGCCGGAGATCTATTTATCTATTCTGAGATCTGAGACGTCACGAGCTAGCCCTACAACTGAAATAGAAATTGAAAGAGTAAATATTCGCCCGCGAAAACTTTCTTTTTTTATTGCAAAAGCAATAGGATAAAAGACAGAATAAGGATTAGTTACAATAATAATAATACAATATTAGTAAAACTAATATGAAAATGTTGAATTATCTATTCAAACAAGATATATAAATGACTAACGATTCTTCGTATTCCTCAAAAAATACATATATATCTTAACTTCATTTTTTGAATATTATATCTTAATTAACTGAAATGAACTTCATTATTAAAAATCCAAATTTTGAAATCCTTTATTCGTGATTCGCGAGGAGCTGGATGAGAAGAAACTCTCACGTCCGGTTCTGTAGTAGAGATGGAATTGAGAAACAACCATCAACTATAACCCCAAAAGAACCAGATTCCGTAAACAACATAGAGGAAGAATGAAGGGGATATCTTCTGGAGGTAATCATATTTGTTTCGGTAAATATGCTCTTCAAGCACTTGAACCTGCTTGGATCACATCTAGACAAATAGAAGCAGGTCGACGAGCAATGACACGAAATGCACGTCGTGGGGGAAAGATATGGGTACGCATATTTCCAGATAAACCAGTTACTGTACGACCCGCGGAAACACGTATGGGTTCGGGAAAAGGATCCCCTGAATATTGGGTAGCTGTTGTGAAACCCGGTCGAATACTTTATGAAATGGGTGGAGTAACAAAAAAGATTGCCAGAAGAGCTATTTCAATAGCAGCATCCAAAATGCCTATACGAACTCAATTCATTAGTTCGGAGATAGAAGAAAAATCTAAAACCACCCGAAAGGAATCTTAGGAATGAAACAAAAACACAGGTTTCTTTTTCTGTTTGTGGACAAAAAATATTTCTTTTTTTCTTCGCCCTTTGCATTGTAAAAAACAGAGTAAAAAAAATGATATGATTCAACCTCAGACCCATTTAAATGTAGCGGATAACAGCGGGGCTCGAGAATTGATGTGTATTCGAATCATAGGAGCTAGCAATCGTCGATATGCTCATATTGGTGACATTATTGTTGCTGTTATCAAAGAAGCAGTACCTAATATGCCTCTAGAAAGATCCGAAGTAGTCAGAGCGGTAATTGTGCGTACCTGTAAAGAACTCAAACGTGACAACGGAATGATAATACGATATGATGACAATGCCGCAGTTGTTATTGATAAAGAAGGAAATCCAAAAGGAACTAGAATTTTTGGTGCAATCGCCCGAGAGTTGAGACAATTCAATTTTACTAAAATAGTTTCATTAGCTCCCGAAGTATTATAAAAGGAAATCGTGATATGTTTCTAGTGGAGTATTTGAAAGAAAGGTCTTATAAAAGGAAATCGTGATATGTTTCTAGTGGAGTATTTGAAAGAAATAGATTCAAAATTGAGTAGAATGTGTCTCACGCATATATCTTTCTTGAAAAATAGAATTCATAGACAAATAAGTAAAAAAACACGTTGATAGTATCCAATTTTTTTTGCCGCAATAATTATAGTTCATCATGGGTAGGGACACTATTGCTGAGATAATCACTTCTATACGAAATGCTGATATGGATCGAAAAAGAGTGGTTCGAATAGCATCCACCAATATTACCGAAAATATTGTAAGAATACTTTTACGAGAAGGTTTTATTGAAAACGTGAGAAACCATCGAGAAAAAAACAAAAATTTTTTTGTTTTAACCCTGCGACATAGAAGGAATAGGAAAAGACCCTATAGAAATATTTTCAATTTAAAACGGATCAGTCGACCCGGTTTACGAATCTATTCTAACTATCAACGAATCCCTAAAATTTTAGGTGGGATGGGAGTTGTAATTCTTTCTACTTCGCGAGGTATAATGACAGACCGAGAGGCTCGACTAGAAGGAATCGGGGGAGAAATTTTGTGTTATATATGGTAATATTTTGATATTTTGAATTGAATATAAAAATTGGATCCAAAACTTCTTATTTGTAAAATTTGGGAAAGGAAAAAATGGGGGAGTTATTGAATATCGTTCTACCTCCATTAGTTGATACTTCAAGATCACTTACAGTACCTGGGATGAAAGAACAAAAATGAATTCCTAAGGGTTTCATTAATGAATCGCT